TATTATCAAGCTCGAATTGCTATAGAATTAATCAATACGAACCAAATATACATACGTAAACAGATCTCATAACAGTAACATATCTACAAAAATCGATTAGCCGACTAAAAACATCGATAACTGAAAACAATTAAAACTTGTTGAAATTGCAACGACAGGTATTAGATTCAATGAATCAACAGAGAACAAGTAAACGAACTCATATATTTTTCATAAATGCTTCCAATATGTTACTAGATCTACAAACAGCAAGTAAAGATACATTATTTCGTTTACAATTAGATGCAAAGCCAACGAAAGCTTGAAACCTGATAATCGGACTACACCGCGCGAAAGTTCCCCCCTGCAAACAAAGACGTGAAAAAGAACCCTAACCCTAGGGTTTAGATATACGCCCAGAGATGTAACTGTGCCCTTTCGGCTATGGAATGTATAAACGGGCCGATACTCCAAATCAGCCCAATCGTATCTATTAGTAAAAAAAAAAAGGGTCGGTGAGTTACTTACAAAACCAATTTAGATCTTTGGTAGAATAAAAAGGATAAAAAAAAATCGAATTAGAGACATTTTCTTTTTGTATTTTATCATTTAGAATTTTAATTTTTTTCTAAAATATTTTTTGATAACCATAAAGCTTTGAAATTGTTAGAAAGCCTAGTTTTCCATTTTTTTTTACCTAACCAACTAATTTTTGTGATTTAATCACAGTGATTTAATCACAGATTTTTTTAGCCATTAAACTTAGGAGTATAAATACGTTAATTTTTTGGATTTAATCAAACCAATCTGGAGAGTAAGATTTTGTAATTGAAAAAACCATTTGACGATGCCTTGTTGGTGGTTAGAACTTAGAAATGACATGTTTCACACTACGTTGTCATTTTAACGTGGTTATAATATTGTCATAAAAAATATCTAACATATAAATAGATAATATAATATTATATATTCTTAAACACTGTCCTAAAAATATATGTGAAAAAAAGATTGCAACCTAAGTTGCAACTTAAACTTTATTTACTCTAATATAAATAAAAAAACTAAATCTATTTTTTTTTTTTTTTTTTTGAAATGGCAAACTAAACTAAACTAAATCTATCTATCTAATATAAACAATAACAACTTACTTGTAACATATTGATTTGAAACTTTTATTTTTTTCAAATTATTTTAAACTAGGAAAGAATCCCGCCTTGCGGGTGTTGGAGTTGCGGGGTTGGAGGTATTTTATAACCTTTTATATAAAAAAACGGTAAATAGCAACAAACTTTACAATGTTTTACATATATTGGCTCTAATTTTTCATATGTTGTTATACAAAAATGTAATGCTAAATGTTGGTAATTATACAAAGTATCAAATTGCAATGCTCTATATGCTAGATATAAAATGCAATATGTTGATAGATTTTCACATCGCCACATTATATCATCTCTTAGATGTAATCAACATTTAACACAGATTATATGTGCCCACATAAAGTCCTAAATGTCATATTTTCTACACGGTACTCTTATGGTTAGTTGTTCACATTGTATTTGATACCAAATGGTATAAATCATCATCAATATAAAGAATGGAAGTTAATCTCTTAGTAGAGTTGACAACTTCAATTAAAAATATAATCATATAATATAACCTTTAAATTATTAGTTTTTCTCTTGTGTCACATCGTCCCATGTTTTCTCCATAAGTTTCACATTAATGGAAGTTAAATCACATAGACATAATTATTTGGACAAAGTACACGAATGGTCCCTATGGTTTAGTGTTTGTTACGCGCCTAGTCCCTAACTCCATTTTTTAACCATGCCAATCCTTAATAGTTTGGTTTAGTGCACGGATAGTCCCTCATCTAACCTTCCGTTTGATTTTGGAGTTAAAACCCCCACGTGCCTTGCACGTTGAGGGGTATTTCCGTCATTTTACTTATTCATCCTATAAAAACCCTAGATCAGTGCATCCCCCTTTTCTTCCTCTACGTTTGTTCTCTCATTTCATCTCTCGTTTCTTTAATGGACAAAAAATCAACAATGATGAAATGTAATTGCGGGCAACCAAGTGTTATACTGACATCATGGACCGACGACAACCCCGGAAGGAAGTTTTATGGCTGCACAAAGAAGGTAAGGTCGTTTTGATTCTAACTCAAGCTTTTGTGTGACAATGACCGCAAATCTGTTGGATTTGAACTTGACAGGGACCTAAATGTAAGTTTATTGGATGGGTTGATGAGGAAGGATGTGGACGATGTACTAGGATAATTCCAGGGTTGTTGAAGGCTAAGAACAAAGTTGAAGCTGAGAATCGACTGCTGAAGATAATCATTATTTTAAGTTGGGTGTTCATAGGAATCATTATTTACAAGTTGTAGTGCTTAAGAAGATCCAACTAGTATGCTATGTCTGATGTTTGTCTTTTTTGAACTTATTTTGACTTCTATGATCCATCTAGTTGGTTGTTGTATGTGAATTTGAAGTGTTTTGAAGTGTTTCTGGAATGTATTTTGATTAAGTGTTTGTGAATTTGATAATATTTTGGTTAAGTGTTTGATTAAGTGTTTTTGGAGCTTATTTTGACTTCTATGAGCCATGTATTTTCATCAAGTGTTTCTGGAACTTATTTGGAAAAGTAAACACTAACAATTGACAAAAACAACCAATAACATATGCTAACAATCGACATAAACAACCAATAGCACAAGTGGGATTTAATAAAGGGTAATTTAGTTTCCATACTTTCCATAACATAGTTTCATACATCAACAAAATGGTTAATAGTTTCATACATCAACAAAATGGTTAACCAAAAGAAACATAATTTACCCAAAAGTATTAACCATAAGGACACAGTTTTACCAAAAAGACACAATTTAACCAAAAGAACTGATTAACCAACAAAATAAACTTTCACTAATAGATCAAGACAATGTCATCAATTTCCCTCAACCAGCTTTTCCTTTTCCCTTACCAGAACCACCAGGACCACCAGAACCACTAGGAGCACTAGCTTTTTGTCCCTTACAACTCCTTGCATTATGACCAATGTTGTTGCACTTTGAACAAGTAACCGACTGAAGGATTCTTGATGCACTATTACCCTTCACCATGTCATCAATTTCATAAGCTGATTTTCTGCGTTTCTTCTTTGGTCTACCAATTGTGACATGATGTTTAGGAGGAACCAAAGTTGTTGGACACACAGACTTTTCCCACATGCTTCTCCCATTAATGGGCTCAATTTTGAATGAGTACATCTGTTTCCAAGTTTTTAGCCAATATACCTCATGCACCCAAGTTTCTGGTATTCCAACATCCTTACTATTCTTCCTCATCTCCCATATAGTAGCAACAGCATGTTTGCATGGCATCCCAGTGAGTTCCCATTTCCTGCAGGAGCATGTTTGTTGAACCACATCCACCGCGCATTGGTCCATCCAAGGGCCACTTACCTGATACTTACCATTTCCACAAAATACAGATCTATAATCTTCTGCCTTTTTTTTATATTTTCCAAAGTCTGCATAGCTGTAGGTGTCAAAGGACCAGTACATTTCCCAATGGCCTTTTCTACATTCACAATCTTCTTCATTAGATATTCCCTAATGAACTCTAGGCAAGTAATAATTGGTTTATCACGACCCTCATTCAGTTTTCCATTGAATGTTTCACACAAGTTATTAAGAATCACATCAGAATGTGCTCTCCCTGTCCAATCACATCACTTAAAGTCAATTAAATAAAACTACACAAACCAGGAAAACATAAAGAATGTTATTAGAGTTAAATGTTATACCAGTGAAATGGGACCTAGACCAGTGCTGAGGTGGTATCTTCTTAAGCCACTCATAACAATCCTTGTTTAATTTCTTTAGCTCTTCCATGCCTTTGTTAAACTGTTGTACATGTGTTGCAGTTGCACATGTCCATAAGAGGTCTTCGAAAGGTTTACCCCTCCATTGCTTCCTCATGTTATCCCGAATGTGACGAACACAGTAACGATTTTCAGCACAAGGAAACAAGTCCGCAATTGCATTTAGAATACCCTAACAATCATACATAGATTTTGTTAGTAAACAATTTAGAAATAAAGTAAAAAAAAATCTATGATTTTAGTACCTTTTGTCTGTCTGTTATAAAAGTGAAATTAGAATTGGTATTCAAGCCAAGATCCTCCCCAAGACAACTCAAAAACCAAGTCCATGAACTGATGTTCTCTGTTTCAACCACCGCATATGCCAATGGATATGTGCCATTATTACCATCTAGTCCCTGCATTTTATGATAAATAACAATCATGAATAGATTTTTACTTATTTTTATGTATAACAATAAGTAAAAGAACCATAACTAAAACTTACCACGGCTGAAAGAATTTGTCCTGGAAATGGACCCTTCATGAAAGCACCATCAAAGCCAAGAAAATCCCTCTTTCCAGCTGCGAAGCCTTTCTTTAAAGCTCCCAAGCATATGTAAATGCGTCTGAATGTCCTCGTTTCACTGTGTGGATTTCCTTCGCTTTCAACATCAACCCTAACAGTCGTATCTGGGTTACGAGTTTGCAACTCAACAATGTAATCTCTGAGTAAACTATACTGAGTAACGAAATCTCCTTGCACAAGGTTTAGAGCCTCAGATTTTGCCCTAAATGTTTTCATCCTAGAAAGATCTACCTTAAACCTCCGTTGTAGCTGTTCTTGCAAAGCCCTAATTGGAACAGTAGGGTTACTTTCAACCTGTTCAACAATTTTAGAAGAGAGGAATTTATACGTACATGCTTTTACTGTTCTAGTTTGAAGACATTTATGGACTTTGTTGTACGTTTTAACTGTCCAGTTGACATCTTTTTTCCATTTACTAGCTAATAAGACCCAAGGACATATTTCTTCTTCATCGTTGACTTCTACATTAGGCCCAAGCTTTGGTATTGTTCCCTTACAAACCCATCTCACTCTATTCTTGTCATTTTTTTCAAGAGCCAGCTCCCTTCTAGTCTCTATGGCATGGAGTTTTACCTTATCCTTAAACTCCTTTGCTGAACCAAATTTTTGAAAAATATAGAAGGGTTCACTAACAAGTGCTTCATCATTCTCATGTGCCCTTTGAATTGCTCTTATTGATTTCTTTCTTTGACCATTAATCCCCTCATCTGATGATGAATCAGATGCTAAAAAGTCAGTGTTAATCACCTCTAAAGCTTCATCCTGTGTGCCTTCATCAACCACAGTGTTAGACGACCCTCCAACCCATTCCACATCTTTGTCGATATTCATTTCAAAATCTTGCATATCCACATTAATATCATCCAATATATTTTCAATGTCCACAAAAAAATCACTATCATCACTTTCATCATTGTCACTCTCTAACTCACCAAACTTACCAAAGTCATTAGCATCATTAACCAAGTCATTCTCCATATGATCAGTGAGAGTAGCATCATTACCCAAATCATTCTCCATATGATCAGTGACAGTAGCATCATTACCCAAATCCTTCTCCAGATGACCAGTGGGTGTAGGATCATTACCCGATTCTTTCTCCATGTGATCCATGTCATCCTCCAAGTCAACAGCAGGTGTGCTATGCCACTCCAGGAACAGTGTCTTTGAACAAGATGGAGGTTCAGTAATCTCCGTTATACGAACTTTACTGTGGGTTGGGGACATTAAATAGGTGTGCAGAGTAGTTTTGTCATGCTCTATATATACCTCAATTAACTTATGCTTAGCCACAAAACTCCCCAAATAACGAACATCTTCATCACTAGCTAAAGCGAATAACCCAAAATCTAAATCGCCTAAAGGCCTTTGAAAGTGATAGTAAAGTGGTTTACCTATTGAAGCATACCCTAGGTCTTCCATCATCTCATCAATGTCATGAACGGAAAAGGTATCAATGTCCAGTAAATCAACAAATGTTTTCTTCCCACGAATATACTTCCTTCCAGGAAAGCTTGTAAACTCACCTCCATGGTGCATTCTTATTGAAAACATTGTCGGATGTCCAGCTGTAGAGGAGAGAATCGTTTTTAGCTAACAAAATTAAACCTTTAACAGTCAATATCATTCAAACGAAAGTCAATCAAACATACCATAACTTTGATCAACGTCGATTTCATCCATTTCACCACGAATGTGCCAAGAAACCATTGCAAATCTTTGTTCTTGCAGTCGTCGATACTAGGGTTTTCACGTAAGGATTTTGCACAAAGTTGTGTGTTTTTTTGGGTATACGATTGTGTAATGTAGAGTATGATCGTTTAATTGAACGCATCGATTTCTTAAACTGGCGGTAGGATGAATAAGTAAAATGACGGAAATACCCCTCAACGTGCAAGGCACGTGGGGGTTTTAACTCCAAAATCAAACGGAAGGTTAGATGAGGGACTATCCGTGCACTAAACCAAACTATTAAGGATTGGCATGGTTAAAAAATGGAGTTAGGGACTAGGCGCGTAACAAACACTAAACCATAGGGACCATTCGTGTACTTTGTCCTAATTATTTCATGAATTACACTATAATACAAACTTTTATGAGCTGGTTTTATAATAAAAAAGTAATCATATTAGAATTACATAAGTTCTAATATATTAATAAGGTTATTTAATTAGTATTGATCAAGAATTAATTTGGAATTAATTAAGTGATCAAAAGAATACTAATTAAATATATGGTTTGATTGTGTAAATCATACATACTTATATAGTGGGCTAAGACTCCATGGTGTATTTGAACCCATGGATCCAAGGAAATGAAAAGTCATGACAATTAGGGTTTACCCTAATCGTGACACTATATAAAGATCATATTCTAGGGAAAATCGACCACTACGTGTGAGATAGAGAGGGCTAGCCGATTTTATGAAGTGTTCCAATTTCTCTCAAGTCATTCCAAGTGCACATGATGTTGTGTGAACCATTTGAGGTGTCACACTTAGAGCACTAGGCACTCAAGCTTCATGAAGACAAGCTACATCAAACAAAGGTATGTATTCTATCCATTTGATTACCCAAGTATCAAGTATTGTATGCTAGATAGGGTAATACCTTGGAAAGTTCATATTTGCATGTATAATAGAGAAAACATAGATCCAATGTATTTAGGGTTGCATGTACACTTAGGAGTGTTAGAATGATCAAAACCCAATAGTGGTATCAGAGCCTAGGCTTGTTTTCTTGTTATACTTACAAAATTGGCTGAAAAATCAAAGTTTGGAGCTGTCTGCACAACAGACTCACCGAGTCCATGAATGGACTCGATGATTCCAAGGCAAAAAGCATCCAACTCGCCGAGTTGGTTCATGCACTCGACGAGTTAGACCCCCTGACAGCATATATTCGATTATTTGGCTAGAAATGGACTAGGAACATTACCCTAAGTTGTTTTTGGACTTATAAACTTGTTTTTGATGTGGTAATGTTCATGCTAATCCAATTTCAAAGATAATTTTCAATAGATTCATGTTTTGTATTAATTTAGTGATTAGGCTAATTACATGAAAAAGTTTGATTTGAATTATCTTGTTCTTATGAGTTGCTTAGATTGATAGAAAAGTTAATTGATTGTGTGCTTTCAATCCATTTTAATCTAAGAGTTGATTCTAAAATGTGTTTTTGTAACTTGTCCTCAAGTTATATGAAAAGTCACATTTAAGTTTCATAAAACTCATAAAAGTTGGCAATAGTTACAAAAAATGAAGAGTATTGTCCTCAAGTTATGGAGGTTCAAGAGTCATTTCATTAAGTATCAAAATGTGTAACCTTAATTAATTTCATAAGTTACAAAATAAAGAAAAGTTACATTCTTTTATTAGTTTAAATTCTTCCATAACTTGTCCTCAAGTTATGGAACTTGAAGACTATTTTAATTAAAACTACTTTAAACACATAAGTTATGGAATTAATTAGTTTAGAATAGTTTCAAAACTTGCCTCAAGTTTTGGAATTTGAAAAGTTTTCACTTATGAATACTTTAATTCCAAGTTAGCCCTTAGAATTTTAAAAGTTAAAATTCAACCCTTATACTTTATAATATTATCAGTTAATAATATTTATATATATGTATAAGAGTAAAGTCAGTCTTACCGTTAGTAGGTCCCATTCACGAAGTCGGTCTATAAGAGGGGGGGGGGGTATAAGGTTACTGCCTATAAAATGACAGTTTAATGGGTGTCCACTCTCACCCACCGCTTCCTTAACTGGTGGAGGGTTGTTAGCCGAACTGTAACGACCGAAAAGTCCAACTAATTTAAAATTTTCAAAAACAATCAGATTTCATTAATTTATTACAAAAAGGTTTTCAATACATTATTTATCAGAATATTCCCAGGTCCATTTCATAAAACATAAACGTGAGGGACGGTACGATCACGCCTTTGCCTTGCCACAGTCTCCCGAAGAACCTGAAAAACATTAAACCACAACTGTAAACCCGAAAGCTTAGTGAGATACCCCCAAAATACCAACCACATATACACCCTTCCAGGCTACGACCTTCCGGTCCAAAACATATTGCCTTCCGGCCCATAACATAAAAAGCATACATAACATAACAGAACATAGAACAACCATGCATATCGGGTCTACTGTGTGACTGGTCCGTCGTATCGGGCCTTCAGTCCACCGGATCCATCCTCCGAGTCTAATCATGTCCTTCGAGTCTATAGTGTGGTTGGTCCGCCCGCACCGGGCCTTCAACCCACCTGGTCCACTCTCTGAGTCTACAGTGTGACTGGTCCGCCCGCATCGGGCCTTCAGTCGGCCTGGTCCACTCTCCGAGCCTCGGCACGTCTGGTCCGCCCTCGTGGGGCCTACAGCCTATCCGGACCGCTCGCTGGGCCTTCGGAATAACCGATCCGCCCTGGGTATCTTGGGCTACAGCACAGAGCAGGACCCACCTCAATCCATCTCCAGTCCAAACAACCATGTGCACATAACATACAATCATATAACAATCATAATCAACAAACCGAGCAAGCAGATCACATAGCATATCATTACCCTAACCAGGTTACCGACCTAACCGGTCACTAGCATAGCATCACTCTACATATCGGGAAACTGACCTTAACTAGGTCTCCAGCATGTACCATCCTAGCTACCAGGATGCAGATATATCAAACAATAACATAATAACCATATCCGAATCTCAATCCAATAAAGGGCCGGCCTTGGTGCCTTAGACCTTGTTGATATAGTGAGGATAACTCACCTCGAAACTGTCGGCTGAAAGAATAAGACCCCGCTGCTCCGAACTCTGACACAAACTCCTCCATTGAACACCAAAACACTCAACTCAATATATATATCCTTATTTACCAAAATACCCCTGGAAGACAACTGGTCAACCCTTGGACATGGTCAAAGTCAACCCCTGACTGACTCTACTCGCCGAGTCAACTCGATGACTCGCCGAGTCCCCAAGCTCAGAACTTCCCTCAATCCACGACCTGACTCGCCGAGTCACCCCGAGACTCGCCGAGTCCAACCACTCTGGGTCCACTCGCACCCAACTCACCGAGTCATCCCTTGACTCACCGATTCTCGACTCAACCAGAAAATATTGGGACTCTTCGACAAGACTCGCCGAGTCTAAGGCTATCTTCAACCTGCTCGCCGAGTTGTTCATCCAACTCGTCGAGTTCCAGCTCATCTTCAAGCAACTCGTCGAGTCCACCTTTGTGACTCGCCGAGTACCACCGGTCTGAATCCATACAGAAGCATTCCAGGCCATGCAATTGATCCAAAACATAGATCTAGCCTCCTACAACCCATCCATCACGTAAAGTGGCAAACTTTACGTGAATCCATGATGATCTAGGCATTATACACATTAGGGATAAGGTTTGGGACAAGATAGCTTCACTCAACACTCAACACAGGGACTTTATGCACATTCCAACCCTTCTCTATTCCAGATCTGAGGTAGCAACCTCAGATCTAACCTCTAGACTCCAAAACACCAATAGATGTGATCTCAACACCCCCAAAAATGAAGAATCTAGACAATAGCAGCTCAAGAACGAGATATTACCTTCAAAGAATGCCCCAACAGCATTGAAACTCAAATCCAAGCAAAACCCTTTGATCCAAGCCTTTTCTCCTTCAAGATTTCTTCAACTAGCACTTCTCCAAGCGCCAATTTGCCCAACAATGGTGTTCCTCCACGAAATTAGGGTCTCTGGGGCTCAAGGGGGGATCAAAGAGGCTAGGGAGGAAACATAATGTTCTTTATATAGGGCTCAACTCTGAGAATTAGGGTTTTCTCCACTCAGCACCTACTCGTCGAGTCCATCTTTGGACTCGCCGAGTAGGCCACTTGACATGCAACCAAAGTCGCGACCCTACTCGCCGAGTCCATCATGGACTCGCCGAGTTGCCCTCCAAAACTTACACTTTTAGCCCTTCAACTCTACTCTTGCTATTCCGGGATGTTACAATTCTCCCCCACTTAAATTAGGCTTCGTCCTCAAAGTCTACGACAACTCAACTTCAAAATACTTCCCACGATGCGCCACCTGACCTTAACCGGACCAGGTCCCTTAAGGCATACCCAACGAATCTCAAACTCACTTTCTCTTTCCATACGGTGTCCTGACCACCGTCTTAAACCGGGCACCGGCTATACCCTTCGATAACCACACTCAACAACCGAGAATTACCCATAATCCATTACTGCTCCAAACCAAAACCATTACTCGACCCATATGAGCTATAATTAACCTTGCACCACCCGATTCCCAATCCGAGTCCAACTCTATCCATTCCAGGCTGACAGAAAGACACACTCTTCAGAGCAACTCCCAAGAGTTCTCTTCTTGCAATCGCATGCACCTGTTGAACTAGCTCTAGCACCCTCGGGTCAGGAAATCCATCACTTTGACGATCCTCCAAACATCCCTCCGGATGAACCACTGATACCCAAATCCTTTCCCGAAATCGAACTGGGAACCCAAAACTCAATATTTGCATCCCTTATGAGCCTCTTGACTTTACAGCCTCGGAAATCCCTTCTGCAACCCCGGCAGGCATCCCCTCATGATGTCATCCCAAACCGCCACCGCACACGCTGCTCAATGACCACCGTCGGACCACTCCGATCATAACTCTACACTGCCGCTTTCACTTCCGTGAATCTGCACTCCCTTT